GTGAATGTGTTTAAATTTGTAAATAAAAATGGACTGAAGAAAAATTAATTTTAATCCAATTATTAAAAAAATAAACCAGCAATACAAAGTTATAAAAAAAAAAATAAAATTGAAAACGGCATATAAAAGTTAAAATAAAAATAATGCAATAAGTACAACAAAAAAAGAAAACAAAAATTATATAATAATAATTTTTAAATTTAAAAAAAAATTCAACAAAATAATATAAAAAAAAACTATACGAAAATATTGAAAAATTTATTCATATTCAAAAATAATATAAAAAAATAAAGTTTATTATAAAGCAAAAACTGAAAATAATAAAAACAAAAGTAATTGAAATTAAAAAATAAAAAAATATTAAAAAAAATAACTCAAACAAAGAAATATAAAAATAATAAAAAAAATACCAAAAAAAAAAAATTCTAAGATGTATAAAAATAAAAATAAAAAATAAAAAAAAATCAAAGAAATGTAAAAATATTAAAAAAAATAATGAACAAAAATTTAAAAATTTAAAAAAAAAAAATAAAAAAATATTGCAAACAAATCGAAAATAATAAAAAATAAAATAACAGTAAAAATGATATATTCTACAAAAATTATATAAAAATGAAAAAATAATTAAACGAAGTTGGGAAATCAATCAAAAAGTATTCTTGAGACTGACGCTATCTTCAGATACCATAAGTCATAAAAAGCATCATATATATAATATTTTCGAACAATTCTCTTTTACGCTTTAATGTTGTTATTTTTATTAAAAATTGCAATTGTTTATAACGTTTTCATCTAGCCATCTAGAATTCTAACTAAACTACAAAATGTCTACCAATTAGAAACGAATTGGTTCCGAAAAATATATGGATTAAAATTATTTTTAACTGAATTAAAACTAATCAATATACTTATTTCCTAATATACATTTGACAACTAATAACGAGAAATATTTAATTAAGAATATTAAAATATTCTAATAAGAATTAAAATCTTCCACCCCAAATAATTAATAAAAAACGAATATTCTTCACTACAATAAACTGGTTTTAATATTAGTTCTAGTATATCGGAAAATCCTAATCTTTATTAAGATTAATTATGGGAGATCTTAGAGAGTCTCTTAGAAGTGCGTACTCATGTACCAGTTATAGTGGATATAAGCCTGTCATTAGAGCGAAGAGTCTTTCTGTACAAAGATATTTGCTGATTTCTAGATGTTCACACTTTAAAAGGATTGATTCTTCTGTACTGAACCACACAGATCTGATTTAGCAGATGTAATCATATTACATCAAGCCAAAAATGTTAATTACCTATTGCAACTTAAAGTAACATTAAATGCTTTATATATTTATATATTTTCTTTAAGGAAACCATGCTTATTACACATATCCTCCCGAATTGCTTTTACTTTATTTAATGATTTTAATATGTTTAAGCTTTTAATCAGATCAATTATATTTGCAACAAAAGTTTATTATTTCTAGGAATAACGAATATCCATGAATTATTATACAGACATATTGCATTTTAGGGGCGTATATAGGGGGGACTTACTAAAGGCGACTTTTTAAAAACTAGTTTATCGTTCACATGAGAGATTTGTATGCACAAAAAAAAATAATTGTATCTTACAGTAGCAAGATAGTCCAAAAGGTTTTTGAAAGGGTTTGAACCCTCAAATCTCTCCTTGTACACCACTATCTTATTTCAATGAAATCAGATTTTTTTCTCAACATTATGAGGCCTAAAATGGCCTCAATAAGTTTGTCTGTGACTACAGATTAATTAAATTTTTGTCAAATATAAAATCATAATCGTTAAGGATTAATTTGTTATTTAAATTCTATAATTTTTTTTTATAGCGAATTTCTTTAAACTAAAAGCTGCTGCTATTAAGGCCACGTTATTTTTCACGATTAAATTAGTATTTCCAACAACAAAAAAAATGGAAAGCTAATGCTAATAACAATACAATAGGTTTGATTTGTGTTACTCATATATATAAAGTACGCTAGCACGAAAAAATACTAACTATAATAATATGTGTAGTATGTGAATAACAAATATCTTAATCTTATTTTTAACTTTAGTCAATACTTAAGTGAAATATTAAACAAACTATTAAGCTATCTTCCAGTTCCTCAATTAACCAAAATGTTATAAAATTATGACGGTACATTAGTGAAAGATCTGCCCTACCAACGCATATAGTTGCCAATAGATGGCTGCGCTATAATTACCTAAGTCCTCTTTAATTGTATGTTCACACTGCACATTTAAGTTGATTTAAAAATAATTTAGCATTGAAATTTAGCATGAAATAAATTACTTTTCTGTTGAATTTGCTAATATCCGTATTTGACATACTGAAAGAATAATATAAAAGCAATTATAATTACAATTTGGTGATCAGAATTTCATATTGTAGTCCCTGAACGGCTACAATTCTGATACAAATTTTTCTTAGAATCAGTTATATTTTTAATTTTCAAAAAAATGAAAAATGAATCTATGTCATATATATTTGTTGATATGATTAACGAATTAAAAGAAACTGAGGCACATACATTATTACTTTTTAAAATTGAAGTGATTTATTTAATCTACAAACCTCTCTGATTATTAGGTTTGATCGTTAGCACGAAATTTTTTTTTAATAACATAGCTATTGTTATTTTTTTTATGTCGTTTCTTATTATTTATAATAATTATTTATATTCATATTTAGGGATTCGATATTAGATATCTATAAAGATACGTGTCACTATATCTTGAGTTCGGTCTTGGCTAGCATGGAGTAACACCAAAAGCATTATGTCTAAGTTATAAAACTCGATCTTATAATGGCTAGCTTAGTTCTTTAGTTGACATAATGTTAGTTACCACATTTTCTTGTTAAATGTTAACTGTTAACGTAATTTGAATTGAAGTTTTATTAACACCTAAATGAAGTCCAAGAACGCGCTGGTTGAAAGAAATGGATATGATGGTCTAATGGTAACCTATATAGATTCGGCGATTTCAAATTAAATGACTGATTTTAATTACATTTTCTAACGAATGTGAGTGTGTTAAACTATCCGTAAACTAATTTTTAAATTTTTTAGGACTTAAAAAATGTTTTTATTAATATGAAATGATATATTCTAGCATATTCGAAGAATAATTTTCATTGTTTAGTATTGAAGAAATTGAAGAAATGATGTTTGCAAAATTAAGGTGAACTAATTAAATTAAAAAGTATTTAATTAAATTAAAAAGCAAGTGACTGTTACTGCAATCAAATTGAACACAAAATGACAACACCATTATTTATCAGTTTTATCTGACATTTTTATAGAGGCTTCGAACCAGAGGGATGTGGTAGGAACGATAAGGTTCTTGAAGAGTTGAAATTCTGGTTTATCTTTTCTGTGAAATTAATCGATGGGCTATACGAAACATTTTGTATATAAGAACAAAATTTATATATCTATAATTATTTGATTTTTAAACTGTGAGGGATATACGCGGGGAACTAAATTGATGGTTACCGGCCTATTTCATTGGACTTATGGTATTTGTTTTTTCAAATAAATTTGAAAGTATTTAAATTAATTATTTTTGTAATATACAAAGTTTTTTCTTGAGTTTAAGACAATTGAATTTTTTCTTCGAATTGGAAATCAATAATTTTTTTGTTATATGAATTACAAATATTTTTCTTTCTTAGCAGAAAAAGTTTTTTTGACTAAATATATGTCTCAGCAGTGCGTTTATATGGTACTTTGTGATTAAAAAAAATCTTTTAGATAAAATAATAGCAGAATTGACTTAGCTGAATATTTAATAACATATTAACAAAAAATTTTATTATGTCTTAACAAACCAAATTATTTAATGTAACTGCTTTAGTTCGCAAAGTACCAAAAATAAATCACTTCTTGATTGACTTCTTGATTGAAATTGTAAATAAAATAAGTATATATATATAAGAGAAAATCAATACAAATCGGTATGTATTGATATGTATTTGTTATTGATATACATACGTATGTATATACATATATTAAATTAAATTAATTTGCATATTTATGTACAATATGCATTATAAAGAATGTATTGATTGCGAGTAGCAACGACTCCGCGCTTAACTCTTAACACAAAATTTTACTAATAAAATATTTATCATATAACGTATATGTATATATATATGTATATGTATATTAGTTGTTTGTTTGTTTATTTTTGATTTATTTTTATTTTTATTTTATTTATAATTTTAATTTTAACTAAGTAAGAACTTAATGAATTTGCTTAACTATTTGGCTTTCAATACATTGGTTTGTATATACGTTATTTGTTTGATGTTCTTAAATTACAATGCATTAATGATACATGTGTATGAGGTCCTCTATATGTAAATAGTCTACCAGTAAATACATGGCTTATAACAATTTATATCAAAATATAATTAGTTTTGTTTTTCTTTAGTTTTTTTTTTGTATTTAAAATGACTTGCCATGTTCCTTAATCAAATTCAGCATTTTTTTTATTAAGTGTTTGTTTATATATTAATAAATATATTTATATAAATGTGTTATAACATTTTTTTATAATTTTCTAATAAAATTTTAAAAAATATTTTAGTTTTTTTGTTTTTTTTATGAATTAAAAAATAACATTTGCATACATAATTGTTTTTGCTTTGACATTTTCTTTGGTCTTGCCGTTCATTAGCTTTTATTGCTAGTAATATTTTTTATTTATTATTTTATTAACAAAAAAAAAAAAAAAGACGATTATAACAAAGGAATTTTATTTTCAAGTCATAGCTTATTTGGTCCTTTATATTAAAAATTAAAGGCACCTACACTGCTATTTTAGTTCTGCATTTACTTTCAAATCAAAGAAAGAAAATGACTTTCAACAATTTTTTTTTTATATTTAAATTTTTTTTTTCTGTAATATATTATTTTCTTTTTTTTTTTTTAACTTTTTGAATTTTTTGAATTTTAAAATTTTTAGTTTTAGATTTCTTATTATTAATTTTTATATACGCCTAGTAAGGCTTATCCTTGGAGCGCTTCAATTGCACTTTTAAGCGCTTCGTGCCAATTTGGAATCCATGCATTGCTTGTATGGCTGCACCGGCTGAAAGTGGATTATCATATGACACGAAACCAAAACACTTTGACAAGTTCGTCTGCTTGTCGATGAACACTTTCGCTGATAGTACATTACCGAACGGAATAAAAGTAGAAGCGAGATCGGCATCTGTGAACTCCTGCGGAAGGTGGTAAATGAAAAGATTGCTTCCATCGGGGCCTGCGGTCGATGATATTTAAACATTAATATAATTCAAAGTATATATAAATAATAATTACAATGAAAATCTTTTTATATATTATTAAAAAACAATTGAAACATGTATATGAATATAAAACTCTTATTCTGATGCTTAAGTGTGAAACAGATTAAAACCAAAAAAAAAACAATTGTGAAAAAGTTAGAAATTATTTAAATCTTAAGTGTTTCAATATTATCCCGAAGACAATTGTAATTTGCTTAGAATTTATTTACTAACATTTAAAAAATCGCACACAACAATAACATCAACAAAGTGCTTGATTCTAATCGAATATTAGGTTCCAGGAGCGAACAGATTTACGTTTAGGAGATCCTCTTCTATGAGAACCACTCATAATATAATAACAACATAAATAAGTAGAGCTTCAGGAACTTAGTCTAATTTTTAAACACTTAATACTTGACTTGAAAAAACTTGTCACCTATTAAAAATCTAAATATAGGGTCTTTGCGGATATATTAAATTGTTCCAGTGCGTGCTTTGGTTGATTAGTGATTATATACCATAGTAATCACATTTTTTTTGGAATAACGGTTTGTTTTATTATGAATCCATCTATGAACCAAAATATGACTTGTGTCAAGATCACAGTAGAAAAGATTAGGGACAGTTAAAAGTCTGTCAAACAAATAGATTGCTCTCACAACTCTGCAATATTGTGTGCCATTAAATTGTATTCTTCATAAGACCTGTTTACACTAGCAACAGATCGATAGATATTTTGTGTAAACGTATAAGACGTTAGTGTGTGGTAGTATTCAGCTACATAAGGTTTCTGTTTACTGGGCTGAATTACTGATTCTGTCTGTTAATGTTTGCATAACAGAGCTTTCATTGTATCTCTACCTAAGTAGAGATTTTCGGTAATTAAGAATGTAGTAAGTTAGATCTTTATTTGTTAGGTCTTTATATGTTAATGTTATATGCATGGGTGAGGTCTTTATTTGATACATATAAACATGATATAAACATATGTATAAACATATGTCGTAATTCAAGAATTTAAGTAAGATGTAATAATTACTTTTAACATAACAATTGTTTTTATCAGTTCAATGTATAACGAAACTGAAAGCTTTCAAGATTTTTGCTAATAACATGAAACCTCTTCGATCCAGATAATGTATATGTATGGGAACTTGTTTTTTTTATAAAGTAGTTTGAAAGACTATTAGCAAGACTAAAGACTCTATATTCAGGTTGAGTAATTACAAATAATAGTTGAATAGTACCTCAATGCAAAATTATATAAAAATACACAATTGAAATTCCTTTTAACACTATCAGTGCAGAATTGATTAAAATCTTGTACGTTAGATAAAGTGTAAATAAATAAAAATATATATTCGAATATTTATGGTACATTTGAAACCTAAGTCTGGCGTAAATCACACGACTTTGAGTACTTCAGTCAGACATAATCGGTCCATAATTGATGATTAAAAGTTGGTCATATTAAAAGATCTTGTGTATGTTGTCAGATAAGAGTATATTGCATAAACTAAAAAATGCTCCTAATGATATATACGGGGACATATACCCATAGAGAATAGTTTTTTAAGGAGTTTATTGATTAATTTTGATATGAAGAAATTCAGTTTGCCTAGTATTGGACAATACAAAGTTTTTAAAGTGTGTTGTTATTTTATAATTTGGATCATTGATCTTCCAGCCTATATCTATATCTATATTCATTTTATCTTCTACAATATGTTTTTAAAATGTACTATAATTTATTTTTTAATATTTTGAGAAGTTTTTATTACTGAGAAGACAAGGACAATTCAGAACCGAGACTAGATATAGTAATCAGAATGCAAATTATCAGTCCAGTTCCAGTCTCAATATCAATCAAGCACGAACTATTGCTTTCTTTTACAGTTGCCTGTGGAATACACAAAACACACCCTGTATTTACACCCTGTACAATTGTTTTAGCATATTAATTAGTAACTGAATTGTGTGCAACAAGCGTGTTCAATCCAATGATTATCCTTGAAACCAGTTGATTTTAAAAATGGCTCGATTATGACTATCTTATCTTATCTTATCTCTTTAAGTATGAAATTGCCGATGGGTGTTTCGGTAGTGTTGGAACAAAAGTGAGGTGCACTAGTTGGTGTCAATGCAATTTGGAATTGATGTTTGTACTTTTAAATATTTAAAGCAGATATCTTTTAGTCTTTTTATATTCATCATATTTAAATTGTTTTACCTTCGGCTTGCTTACCAGCAACTCCAGGTATAGACTGATGTGAAGCGGCCGTTGGCAATTGTGCTGTTGGAACATATGCACTAAAGGATGTTGATAATGCCTCAGCTCCATGCCCTAATAAAAGATAAAAATAAAAAAAAAAGAGAGAAAAAGAAAATAAAATTATTTTAAATATTTCAATTTCCCAAAGGCAAAATATTGTCAAGAAAAAAAAAAACAAATTTATTCACAACATTTTCATACAATATAATTTATTTGGTGCATATAGGTAGATACATGTAGTCCAACACTATTAAAGCGAAGTGGAGCATCTGGTGGAAACGGTATCTTGTTTATTTTTTTTTCGGATTATTAACTTATATTATTTTTTTTTTAATATTTTGCAACATTTTTGTTAACAATTATTTTGTTAAATATTTTTTAAAATTTTATTTTGACTCTTTTTGATTTTATTTTATTATTTTTATTGTACTTAATTTGCTTTTAATATTATTTATAATTTGTTTTATACATCTGATATCAAATATGGATACTCTAAGGCACATAATATTAAGGTGAACTACTATGCAATGGACATTAATTGCAAGTCCTAACCCCATATCGTGCGGTGGAAAGGCGATAGATGGCGTCCGCATCTTCGGTGGAAGGACCAGGTGACCAACGATTTGAGGGCGCTCGGTACTACCAACTCGCGACAGCTAGCAAGTATTCGGGCTGACTGGCAGAGACGACTCGACGCAGCCAAGGACAACTCACGTCTGTAATGGCCAACTAAGTAAGTAAGTAACCCCTTTAAAGGACCCCTTTTTCAGTATATAAAAAGTGAAATATATAGATCTAGAAAGGATATGACTATAAATATATATGAAATATAAATAATAATATAAAAATAAGTTTAAGAAGTGATTACATTACATTGCAAAATGAATTCTAAATAAAATAACATTGCGTTCCGATTGATTAGATTAAAATAATCCTTTCTTTTTAACGGGATCTGCTAAAAGTGAACCTGAAGTAATGTCTATGAATTTGAATCAAAATTTTGTTATGAAAAAATTTACAAAGCCATTTGAAAAGCTGTTTGGGCTTAAAAGGAAATTCAACAATTTAGAGATGTACTTTATGCCGTATCCTTTATTTTTTCTGGTGCTATTAATGTAAAAATTAATTTTTGTATATCCTTTGTGGTATATTGAAAACTGCATAAAACATTTCCAAACTCTTTTTAGTCAAATTTTTTCCTGCTATTCTTGATGTTTTCGTTCACTTTTTCATTATTATTTTACGGGTTTTAATTGAAGTAACAAAAAATATATGTTGTTCTACATTGTTTTGTTGTTGATTATAACAGAACAGAACAGTCCAGAACACAGCAGAGCAGAAGAGAACAAAAAATAAAAATATACGAAAATATACGAAAATAACAACAAATTAAAATGAAGCAAGAAATTTGGTAGCAAATTCAATCCGGAGGGACTGCCACCAGCGCCGACCCACCTTTTCGGGGAGGATTATGCACTTTCTCGGTTCATTTTGTATATCGCATATTTTGTGTTCAGTTCACATTGTTGGCTGACTTCCTCTATGGCTGGAGCAAGCCAGTAATGCAATAAACCGAATATTTCATATTGTGTAATTTTACGAGCTCCCATAAAAATGAAGGTCTCTATCACACCTCGCTCTACCAACATTGCCACATTGCCACTTTGCCACATAGCCACCTTTTCGCCACCTTTTCGCCAAATTTTTGTTTTACATTATTACATTTTTAGACAGCACATAAATGGGAAAATATTCGCATATGTAAAAGTAATAAAAAATTATTTATTGGTATGAGTTAATATTAGCAGCGTTTCATGTTTAAAAGTACATTCACAGTGGGCAAAATTAGAATAAAATTTTATGAAATATAGTAGAACTACTTTGGGTCATTGGATATATAAAATCCAAATATATTTTATTCTTATATCATAAAAAAATCTTAGAATTACTACAGGAATCTAAACAGGCCACTGTAAAATTAAACATCACCTTACGATACGGATCCAAACTGTAGATTCCGTGAAGAGAATGAGGAGTCGGCCACACATGTTAGAATGCCCTGCGATAATGCAGATACGGTATAGGTGCCTGGGAATGTATATTCTTTCGGAAGAGGCAATAAAACTCTATAAAGCAGATTCTATACTATACCTACACTAAACCCAAAAGGGGGCACAATAGACCCCACGGTCGCAGTACCACATCCTCTAATAATAATAAGAATCATAAAAGTCAAATATTATTATATACTATAATAATAATATATTTTGTTTTATTATTATATGCATAGCTTAACTGGCAGGGGAATACTGGAAATTATCTTTCTGCTCACCACACTCAAAAAGCTTTCGAAAGATCGTTTGAAAGATACATTATATACTGCCAGCTGTATATACAAGAGCTGCTATTGAGCAGATCTTTCGATCAACAGCGGTATTCTTTCGTAGTATGAGTTAATTTCAGTAAATAATTATTTATGTATAAGGAATTATAATAATAAAATATATATATTGCGGCTTTCCATGGAATTTGTATTAAAATTCAATTGTTAACTTGCATGCGTTGGCGGTTATCAGCTGTTCTTGATTTCACCACGGAAGAAATAGGACAAAACAGATTTTTACCACGAATTACAAATGATAAAATTTTTTTGGAAGACATAGAATCAGAATAGCAAAAATCTTTCCTATAGTCTTTCGTTCGATTTTTTAAAAATCTTTGGTAAGAATTTTAACGATCTTTGCTAGAATTATCCAGTGAGATTAAGAAAAATTGGTTTGCAGAAATCAAAATTGTTTGAACTTTGAAGTTTTCTTAAGTCTTCTATTCTGTATAAGTAAGGAAATAATTGCGATCTAGTTTGATAAACATTGAAAAATAAATAATAAGAGAATGAGGAGGAAGAAAGGAAGTAATAAATAAAGAAAAAAGAAGTAAAGCATGAAATTAGGATAAACCAAAAAAATATAAAAAACTTATAGTAATATTGATACAGAAAAAAAAAAACAAAAGAGAGTGAATAAGACAAATAGAGAATAAAAAAGATAATATGAAAGAGTGCGATAGTAAAGGAAATGAAATGAAAGAATAGGAAAAATAGTAAATAAGGGAGACAGCGAGAGAGTAAAAAGAATCTTAAGATGATAAGAATCTTAAGATGATTTAAGATGATAAAAATAAAGTAAGTTTGAAGCTAATATGAATTAAAATGGAAGTACTAAAAAGAAGATAGCGAAAGTCTAAAGACAATACAGAAACTCCTAATGAAAGTGAGAAACGAAGGTTGTTACGAGAACACGGGACGGACTATTTTTTTATATTTATGAGTTATAAATAATATAACTTTTATAAACTAATCAATATTTTTTTTAAATAATCTAATAGAAAGAATACTTCAGGCCATAGAACAATAAAATATATATGGGACGTTTTGCCTCGCAACGGCGTGGAAAGCTGCGACCATGGCAGATCATTTGTGCTACTAACTGACGCTACTCGAACAGCTGTCTTCTGTTCCGCCCTTAGAGAGATGTAAGATCTTAATCCATATTTGAGTCAACATTAGTTGCTATGTGATTGTTATAGTTGCATATTTGTTAGAAGTTACTTACGAGATATCTGTAAATTAATAAATTTTTGTTTTTATTTATTGTTTTTTATAATTTATTTCAGTATATCGGTAAATTGTTAATGACTGTCAAGGTATGAGAGGCGAATGTGAGAGCTCCAACTATTTTTCTACGTGCATAATCTATATCACATAATAAATGATCACAATGTCCGTATAAAACGATTACTATATAACTATATAATGTGGATATGTGTTTCTACTTTTTATTTTTATTGTAATTTGTATGCATTAGTTTAAGTTTTTAGTAAATATCTACTTAGCGCTCATAGCATGCATAAGTGCACCCAAAAGTATGCGATGTTAATTGAGCTTACTTTGTGGTGTTTAGTTCACAGTTAGTATAGAGAATGCAAGAGGTGTGTAGAGCGTCAAACAAACCGAAAGAAATGATATGAAAGCTAGAAATTCAAAAATTATAGAAGACTATTCACTATTATATCTACTTACAAAGCGGTGTAGTTGTGGCACTTTGTAGTTGCGTCTGTTGCAAAGGGTTTGCAGCGGCGATTGATTGTTGAATGGCCATTAGCTGCGCCATATGTGGACTCACTATACGTGCTGCTGTGTTATGTGCCTGTTGTTGCATATGGACGTGGTGATGTGCGCCTGTATGATGCTGATTAAGTGCAGTCAGCGCAACCAGATTCGACATTGGTATTTGAGGCGGTGCCATCAGTCCATTGGTGGTAGCATTGCTAGGGGTAGCAGGCGCAACTGAGCCGGCTGTTGAAACAGTAGTGCCGACATTGGTACCGGATAATGTTGCAGCGGTCGCACTATGATCCGGTAGGAAATTTAGTCCTGATTTTTGCGATTTTTAAACAATTTTTTTGTTTGTTTTTTTTTTATTTTGTTTTTGTGTTTTTATGATTATTGAAGTAACATTCAATTTTTATTTTTGGATTCATTTATTTTTGGATATTTTACATTACCACAGATTCAATCAGACATACCAAAAAATGTTCAACGAATATAAAAAACATAGAAGAAAACACACACCCAATTGGATTATTTACATTTACAAAAAATTGTTGTTGTAATTGTTGTTTTTGTTTATGATAAATAATTTTTTTGTTTACAAATACATACAAAATAAATACAAATAAATACAAATAAATACATAAAGAAAATAAATAAGAAAATTAAAAAATAAATTAGGAAATACAGCATAAAAACAAAAAATAACATACAATAGAATTTAGATTTTTGAAATAAAATGCAGTTAGACAAAAATTGCTCAGTGTACGCTTAATATTAAAATATCGTTTATTTTGCAATTTACTAGCAGCGAAATTAGCATTAATTGGCAACACTTAGCTGGAGTAATTAGTTAAGTTAATAATAGATTTAGTCTTACATTATGTTTTGCAAATCAAAGTCTACACAGCACGATGCCTTATCGCACACGAATACGAGTAAATACGGACATTTGCACGAATATACACGAATAAACATGAAAATACACGAAAATACACGAAAATACACGAAACTACACGAGTATGCACGAATGCTTTGCATGCTAATTTAGAGAAGTTTCTACCCCGTTATTTGCAGTTTTTACAGCCAACATTCAACATAAAATGTAGATTTCAATGAATTTTTCTTTTATAAATTTTTATTTTTTTTTTTCTTTTTTTTTTTACTTACAAAATTGTGTTTATGACTTTTTTTTTTTTTTTCTACTTAAAACAACAAAACAAAATCGTAAATAAGTCGATATGGAGTATGGAAGCCTGACATATAATAGATTCCACAAATAAACTTAAATGATAAATCTTTGCAAGAAATATAAGATATAATATATATAGAGACTAAAGAACGTTTTGGGAGAGTTTGTCAAAATCTTAAGAACTAACAACAGTGGTGCGAAACGAAAAAATAATAGTAAAAATGACAAAAAAAAAATTGGCAGGCATATTGAAAACTTTAAGGATATAAATAAAAGAGGGAACAAAAGTATATAATAAAAACGAAAATAATAAAGCATAGCACTATATTATATATTATAGGTCTGCGCCACGAGCTACTCGTAGTAACTTTGAGTAAGACTGTGTATACATGAAAGCGTTCGACTAGCAAATTTTCGAGTAAATGAGAGCATCTGAGAGTGCAGAACACCCGAGCTGTTTAACCAGCTGTTTTGGTTTGAATTAAAATTTTTGTGTTGTTTATTTGCGCGGCACTGATGTTCTCACCAGATTTTACATAAAGATGTTCCTAGAAGATCTGTCTAAAGAGCGTATGTTAGCTCTTTATTTGTATTACGCTCTCAGTTTGTGCTTTACTTGTGTTTTACTCGAGTTTTGCTACGAGTAGCTCGTAGAACAGAACTAATATAATTTTAAGTTTTTTGTTGTAGAGTTCTGTAAAAACCTTTTCACAAGAAAAGGTTTTTACTATCAATTTTGCAGCTTTGTACTGCAGCGCGTTGAAATACGCAATTAAACGCTTCAAATTTAATTGCGGTGAATTCTTTAAGCGTTTTTTAAGGTTTCTTCCAACTTCAGAACCACAAAGAGTCTGATTTTAAGTTTTTTAAATGAAAGATTTTAAATGAAAGTATAACTGATGTGAAGTAAGTAAAAAAGTGGAAAGCAAAACTTACTTTTTTCGCATCTTTAACTTAAATTAAAAACTCATTTTCACAAGATTTTGACTTTTTTCCCTTCTCTTTTTATATAACGTGGCTTCTTCCATGAACCGCCAGAAGCCTAATTTTTTCTTCGCATATAATCCTGAGTTGGAAAATATATGCTTTTCCTTTTGTATAAACTTGAAGTCGAAATGTTTTCCCTTAATTTTTTGTTAAGCTTGTAACTTATAAACAATTCCTCTAGAACGAGTCCACAACAGCGTGAGTATGAGTATGCGTTTTTCTTATTCCGCATACCACATACCGTATTCCGTATTCCATATTCCATATTTTGGTGTATATTCGCCGGAAACTGGGAAAATCATCATTATGGCAAAACCGCACACGTGAAAATGGTGAAAAAGCAACACAGAAAAATGCGAAGGAAAATCCCTTAATTCATATCAAAGTTAAGTGCCCGCAGAAAACTTAGTTGCAATTTTAATTTTTTCCATGTTTTTGCTCGTTTTGCTTCACTACTTTAGAGTTTACATGTAATTACGTTTCTATTTTTTAATTTATACGGCGAGGCAACAGGGAGGAGTTATCCTTAAAGCACACAGAACAAACTAGAGTAATCGTAGTGGCGGGAATGTGTTTCCGTCTGAATGCCAGTATGGTCAATAAATGCTATACTGCGCAAATATGCCTTAGTCAAAGTTTTAGTGTTGACTTAACGAAGGACTTAACGAAGCAATCCCTATGTAAAGATGTGCACGTTGTAGTAGTGCTATAGCAGTACTTCAAATAATGGCAGTATTCGAAAACTTATTGGGCAGCGGTCAATATACTTTATTTTAGATTCATACTCAATCTAAAATTGGTTATTGCTATTGGAACCTTCACCTCATATCTCACATCATATGTGACTGTTTTCAAACTATTCTTAAGCTTGAGATGCCCTACTGCGTTTTAGTGTTGACTTAACGAAGGACTTAACGAAGCAATCCCTATGTAAAGATGTGCACGTTGTAGTAGTGCTATAGCAGTACTACAAATAATGGCAGTATTCGAAAACTTATTGGGCAGCGATCAATATACTTTATTTTAGATTCATACTCAATCTAAAATTGGTTATTGCTATTGGAACCTTCACCTCATATCTCACATCATATGTGACTGTTTTCAAACTATTCTTAAGCTTGAGATGCCCTACTGCGTTTTAGTGTTGACTTAACGAAGGACTTAACGAAGCAATCCCTATGTAAAGATGTGCACGTTGTAGTAGTGCTATAGCAGTACTACAAATAATGGCAGTATTCGAAAACTTATTGGGCAGCGATCAATATACTTTATTTTAGATTCATACTCAATCTAAAATTGGTTATTGCTCTTGGAATCTTCATCTCACATCTCACATCATATGTGACTGTTTTCAAACTATTCTTAAGCTTGTGTTTAGTATGGTATGAACACGAGGAGTAAAGGCCAAATCTTTAAAGGATATTGATCTTTAATAGATATAACCACATAACCACATAACCTAATCGACTTAAGTAACTATTTTTTGACTTTGAACCATGTTTATCAAGAGAAGTACTAGAGTACTGACAACTAGTGTCAAGTGACATTTTAATAATTTTTTTTTGAAAAATGTTAAAACCTTGCTAAAGCTCTATTCATTATATTTAACTGGTTAGTTACGTATTACTTTATATTGTTCGAATTTTCTAAATATACAAATATTTTTTTAATTTTTTATTTCTCTCTCCTTTCGGTTTTGATGTAGCATCAGCAGTGAACTCGTTAAAATATAAAAAATCATCAAGATTCAACCTTTCCGCTCGTCTGCTTTCATTGTAGCAATTGTTATGATATTGTTTTGCTGTTGTTGCTGTTGTTGCTGCTGTTGCTGCTGCTGTTGCTGCCATGATTACTATTATTGTTATTATGATTGTTGCAATGTTTTTAGAGCATTAAAATGAAAACGCTGACTAAGCACTACACACAACAAATTTTTTATTTCAACCCATTATTTTTATAATTTTTACTCGCTAGTTATAATGTTACTTTACTGGTTATAATGTTGTTGTTGCTGTTGCACTTCTTGCTGTAGCTTTTGTTGAGTGTATGTGTGCTTTATCCAAGTTTAACTATAAAGCATTTTAATTTTTAAATGCAAATCTACAAGGACAACAGCAGCAGTTAAACTTTGTTGTTAACTAGAATTTTTTTCAAGTTGCATTTCACAAACACTCGCACAAACACGTATATCAGTCAATGGGTCTTCTGTGTATGTTTAAGTCTTTAAAAGGCCACAACTACTCCTCCTCTGAGTTGGTGAGGGAGAGTAGCAACCGTGAGGGGGTCTGTGTAGCTGGTCTGATATGGACACGTTACTAGTTGTAAGGTGCCAAGTTACTAGTTGTGCTAATAGTAATGTCGAAATTTATGCTGATTTTGCTTAATTCTACAACCTAAAACAAATACAAAAATCGAGGGGGAAATGCAACAAAATCAAAATGTGAAGTGGTGTACAGTACGAAATATATTTTTCCCTCTCAAATTATTCAAGTATAGTCAGCATACTCGTTGCATGCGCAAAAGTAACTAGTACATGTAATTTGCCTAATTTGTACAAATGATTTTGCTATGCTCGTTAACAATTTGCTGCTATCCAACGATCATTAAAGAAACAGCAAAAAAAAAAAATAATAAGAACTATGTAGTCACCACTTGATGCAAAATTTCTTGCTTTATCTCTTTTGTACAGATTTATGGCTAACTGTGTCCTTCCTTGCCGCTACTACCGCTACCACGTCCTTGCGAGTTGCCGAAAATAATCGTACCAGAAGACACTCAAAAGAAAAGAAATGAAATTTGCTGACAGTTAAAACTCCATTTGTTATTCAAGTAGCATACGTCTGGCTTGACACCACTGCAGCCCACTTACCACTTTCGACAATCTACCACACACACACACCCGAACCCCTCCAACCGCCGAACGCCTTAGAAAACAATTCCTTTTGCCCTTCGAGCTGCTTTTTTTATATGCACAAAATGTTGCTGTGATTTTGGCATCATCACCACTGCAACTACTCCAGCTGCTTTGTTAGTGACACAGAGGAGCGGGAGCGGTGTGGCTGGTGGCTGAGAGGAGAGAGTGAGTAGTACGTTCATCAGTGACACTTAAAATGTTTCCAAACGGACCAGTGTTTAGTGTTTCCCTTATAGTTGTTTGTAGCTTCGCTCCTTTGACGGTTTTGCTACGTGTAACCAAAGCGTTTTTTTGTAAGCGCACTTCTGGAAAATCGTCAAAGAGAAGGTGCACTTGCAGACTGTTTTGGAGGAGTGGTGAGTGGTGGATGGTGAATGGTGAATGGTAAATGGTGAGTGGTAATTTAGGTATTGTGGACTTTTCTTGATTTGTTATGCGAATAATGTTCGCACTGTGACAGTTGTCGTAACGAAGGCAAAAGACATTTCGAAGCTACGTGCAGCATGTCCATCTGAAACGAATGTCACATGCTGCCCCACTCATCACTTTTATAGTCTGAGGTTGTTTTTTTGGTCCATGATTATTTCTTTATCATTTTTTTTTTTTCTTTTTCGGTTAATAATTTTTTCTGCTTATATATTTAATCTCGGTATTGTGAGGAAAGGCGAGCTCAAAATGTCAAAATGACACAGGCACAGGTTAAAACGTTTTAAATTACACACAAATTGTCTCGAAAGTTCAAAATGTGTGCGAAGAATGTGTCCAAATGCTTCAATTGCCACAAAACATATGAAATGCCCACACAAACGCTGCAAATTAGTCAAAATAGCCTAAAAATGTACTTTCTAAATTTGGACTTAAATGGGCTAAAATTGTCTGAAATGGGCGTTTGTTAATGCCAGACAAATGAGAAGTAAAATGATTGACATGGCACTTATCCTTTCCTACGCTGGCAATAGTTCTCGTTCATAAGTATGAGTACATGTTGGACGTACACTTGCTCTATCCACTGCAACAGACCGCCTTATCGCCTTATCGCCCTATCGTCCTATCGCCCTACTTAGGCGGTAGCTGTCGCTTTCTAGTAGCGTTTAGTGTTGACATCAAAATTGTGCTCAAACGTACTGTTCGTCTGTAAGACAGTCTCCATCTGCATTTAATCCTATTACATTGTATATAATGCATGTCCTTTTATACGAAAGTACATAAATCAAAATACCTATATACAATCGTATATACATATATCTATTACATAAGTGCTCAAGTCTGTTTGTTTTAAGTAAAGCGTTTTTTTATTCCTGGCTTGTATTTTGTAGTGTTATGCAAATGTTTGCTTTATGAGTCTATGGGGTCCTCTTACAATTTTTTTTTACTTTAATATTTTATAAAATGTATGTATAAACACAGAGTTTTTAGTTCAATGTTTTTATTTTTGGTTAAAATTAAATTTTTAGCAGTTGTCATTTGCAAATGATTCGTCGTAGGCAGCATGAAAAATGAATCCTCCAGCGGCGGTATGGGTCGGGAAGCGCTGCTTGGAAATATAATGCAGACAAGTCGGAAATTTACAATGTGTAAGCTACAGTCAAAATATTCTAATTTTATTTTAAATCCAAAAATTGTAAATACGTATAATTAAGTGAACGGACAGACGAGTTTAAAGAAGTATGAAATATTGCGAAATTCTATCAACTGCAATCCAGTGAAAAATAAAAAAAAACATACACCACCGATTTTAATTAACAAAAAAAAAAAAAAGATTTTAATTAAAATGAATCACAATAGCTTAAACAATAAAACTGACTGCAATCTATATATAATTATATATGGAGCCAGAGGCGAAAATGTGATTTTGTTCCACAAAAACACTGGATCACATTTAGACAAACATGATATAATCTAACAAAACCTCTGATTTATTTGGATTAACCCGATTTTTCTATATACACCAAATGTGATTTTAAACTCACAGAGTAGACTAGAAAAAATATGCAGATATTTGTGGAGTGTAAGAGATAAAAATTATGGCAGAATGCATAGATCAAATGGAACTACATTTAAAAAGTAGTGAGAAAATAGGTAAAAATAAAAATGAACTCAAAAGAAACAAAATCGTTCCTTTCCAGAACAAATGTAAAAATCAAGAAGACAACTAAAAAATGCTCCATTAATAGAGAATAAATTCTTTCATTAATAGAAATATGAGATGTGAAATGTGAAAACCATTTAACACACTTAAGATAGATAGATAGATAGAGAGAGAAAGAGAGAGAGATAGCGCAAGCGAGAGAAAAATAGAACAAGGGAGAGAGCGAGAGAGAGAGAAGTATCAAAAATCTAGAAAAGAGTAAATACTGGCAGTTACTTGAGTGCAACTGCAAGAGAGAGAGAGAGAAGTATCAAAAACCTAGAAAAGGGTAAATACTGACAGTTGCCCGGGCGCAACTCATTTAATCGTTAAGAAGTAGTCCCATTATGACATCATAAAACGTATATAGTGGCTGCAGTAAGTGTATTGAATAGATCTGAAGCGATTGCCAAGCAGTTGTTGAGTAATACTGATTTACTCAACCACTGCTCGGCAACTAGTTTTCTCTCCTTCCTCTGACATATAACTATGAACGTAGTCACGTAGGATGGATCCACTATCCGGTCGACGTATCTGCTCATAAGATATGGCTCTGTTAGTGGGACCAAAGAAAAACTCGTATCTATAGAAATTGATGTCTAAAGGTGTTGTTGCTCAATAATTCATTAGCAACAGTTACCAGAAATAAGATGAATTTCATTTTAAATTAGTCAAGGAATGTACCGACACATAATTAAAAAATACACGACATTCCATGAAGAACTAATACCTCGAAGAGAAAAGATACTATGTACCGTTGGAAATACATATTTAAATATGTAATTATGTGATTATGTGATAATGATAATGTCCATCATATTAATGTATTTATTTCTATAATTTTGGAGACAAACAAGTATAGTAGAAAGAGGAGAATAAGAATGAGAAATGAGAAAATCAAATGAAAGAAAAATATTCAAAAGAATGTTAAGATAATGTTTACAAAATATATATGTAATATCTAAAAAAATTAATATTTTTTTTAATTATAAAATGATACAATCTTATCGAAAGCTTGAAAATGTGAAAGCATTTAGTTTATGATACGAGTATATGGACTATTTGAAATAATCTGAAAGAATATATAAAATTATATTATATTATGTATTCTGATGATAATGCCTTCTACTATAATGTGTGCAGCTACTATATATCTATTATATTTAATTATATTATATTTTAAAAAATAAATTTCCTAATAAATACAAAAAAAAAACTTATGTGATATAAATAATAAAAAATACATTAAGATACATTTGAATACATCGACATATTGACGATTTCTTGTAGTTTTGTTATAAGTAAATGTTATGTCTAAACACAATTTTTATAATTATTTACTGCAAACAATTGAAAAGTATTTATAAGATACGCACAAACAAAAACATTGAAAATTATTAAAAATACTTTTTTGTAGTCCCCAAAGTGCAACTAAATATACTGTTTCGGGGATGGTAGACGGGGAGCAAAATCATATTAATAGGAAAATATAGTATAGTATTAAAAATGTGAAACCAATTTTGTTTTGTTTCATCTACTAGAAATGTGTAATGAATTTTAAGTTTTACTTAATTTTGTAATGAAAACTCACAAAAAAAGAAGCGAAAAATGTTTATAAAGAAATGTTGATGAAGCCACGGAAATGTGTTGCTAACTGCACCTGCAACAATGTTGCGCTTCCAAAATTTCTTTAAATGATTAATTTTTTCTTCTTTTATTTTGGTTTTGTTTTTTGTTATTTGTGGTATTTATTGAGGTGGACTTACCTGACAGAAATTGTGGGGAAGATATACCGTAGGGTTGTAGTTGTTGGAACAGTTGCATTTGAGCAGCTGAGGCACTCATTGCATCTGCGGTTGTTAGGAATGGCGATGGTGGTTGAGGACCACTTACAGCGGCGGCAGCTAGTAAAGCTGGTGATACAGTCAATGTAGCCGAACTGGCTCCAAGTGCAGCAGCTTGATTGGCGGCATTGGATGGAGTCGCGGCCACAGCTGCTAATGCAGCCGCCATAGAGGAATTAGAACGTGCTGCAGCCATGTTGGGTGGAACTAAGGCATTCATTGAACTAAGACTTGTTGTGGTGCTTGGTGCAATGCCAGCAATGGCACCAGCAGATGGTGTAGTAAGTGCAGTTATACCGCACATATTAGCCTGAAGTTGTTGCATCTTTTTCTGATCCTTCTCCTTTTGGGTATCGGCGAATTTAACAACTAAGGGGGCAGAACAACCTTCCATAGTTTGACTTTGGTGTAGTGCCTGCAAGGATATTGGTACGAATATTACAAGGTGAATATAAATATTGAAATTATCTGAAAATATATATATATGTATATACCACTACATATAGAAATGTATAGCTAACTACGTATATGGGTGTATATATAACTTTATATTTGAAATAATATTTTATGCCGGAAAATGGAACGCAAAAAATATGCTCTTAATTTGAATTTCCATGACTGCGCGGCGTTGGTAAAAGTTTTTTATGCGCTTACGCTTGCCACACTTTATCGTTGCATGCCACTCAACCAGTTAAAAATGTCGCTACTGTCGCATATAAATGTAGGAAATTTTCCTAATTACTCTGTTGCCGGTAAGTAGAATATTGCCACGCGCCGTCGTTCGCACACAACCCACAAGAATTATAGTCAATGTAATTAAAGACCACTTCTGACAGCGCCACGTAAAGCGGTTGCTGCTATCATTGCCGTGCCGGTGCTATTGCAGTTGCTAGCAACTGCAGACATTGTAGCAACTATAAGCACAACCGAAGTTGAGTGCAACCATTGTACTGCCAACTAAAATGATAAAAGGAAATATGAACGGAAAGTGCTTTAAATGGAACGGACGGACATGAACGCTACAAATATAGAATGTAGAATGTAGAATGCAGTATGCAGTATGTAGTAAGTAGTATACGGGTCTTACTGAGATCGCCTAAATTTGGTTTAATTTGTAGTGGTCCTCGTCCTTCTTCTTGTCTGGTAAGGCAAAAATTACAACTTTTGTTTATTTGTTTATTTTTTGAAATTTGTTGTTGAATTTTGCATTATTTATGTGTGAGCTAAGAAAATAGGAGCACTCGTAAATAATTATAAATAAAAATGGCAACTACTTTATACCAGGACATTAACTATATTCTTAAAAAAAATTATGAAAAATGGGTGGGCGCAGCAGCATTGAATTTATAGAACTCTTAACAATGCGAAATGATGGTTACCACTTTTCTTCTGGATAGTAATGTACTTATTATTATTACAGGATATATTTGTAATATATTTTAACAAAATCACAAGTTTAATCTATTTATAAAGAATTTTTTATGTACATCGAATTTACAAATACTTTTCAGTTATTGCGCTGACGAGTCATTGCTCTAAGCTCGCTAAAAGATTTTCTTGTTTTCTGGGATATAAAGTATCGTGAAGCGCATCCTATACCCTCTCCGACTGAAATGTCAACCTCTTCTTCAAGTGGATCATCCTGTTATCACTGATGAGGCTCTGGCGAACGAGCACACGGCGGGATAACTGTGCAATACCAGGTTAAAGAAGAAAATTTCTTTAGCAGCAAAGTTTCGAAGGCAGGCTCAGACGCCGACGAACATCACAAACTTTGTCTACAAGGTTGCAGCCCTTCCACCGATATAGGGAGTTCTGAGCTAATCACTTGCGGTTCTCAAATAAAACCTTATTCGAGTACTTACAGGAAATAATAATAATGTATGAACGAATTTTTTGGCAACAAACCTTGGCAAACGAAAAAGGATACGAATTGGACAATGGAATGTTATCAACCTGGAGAATTCGCTAAGCTTTCAAGAGAATGTAACCGCTTAGGTATTGATATCCTTGGTATAAGCGAAGCTAGATGTAACGGGTAATACAGTAGTCATTATCTATGATTATTATTACTACTATTATGGTATATATAATAGTAATACCAATTACTCTTAATAGAAGCAAGAAAAAAGTAATATGTTCTATAATGTCGTTCAATAAATTTTCGGTTCGGAACTGATAATGAGTACAGTATCTTTTGGTATTCTATTGATGTGATGTGCATTGCATGTACAGCGGAAACACTGAAATACATACTGACACTCACTTTTGAGAAACATTACAGTTTTTCAATAAATTTTCATTCTAAGCCTTACTGATTTTCTTAAGAGAATGGAATTCTATGTAAATCGAATATCGTATTGCACTTTTCAATTTATTTGATTGATATTTTGCAAATAAAACTCAACAAAAGCACATCCCATGGTTTGTTTCTAATTTGTTCTTCACATTAGAGCACGTTGGAATATATTTCGATAACACCTAATATCTAATTATACGGAATATATTCGCATAGATTTAAGCACGGAAACTCATTGTCTAGTCTGAAGTACAAGATGATGTGAAGAAGTATATTAGATGAATGGAATGAGAAGCCAACATTGGTTTGTATAGAAAAACCAAGCAACATAAAGAGTATAACGAACGAAACATTATAATAAAAGATAAAAAATATATGGTAAATGCCTCCGGTTGTCTGCCCTTCGGTAGGAGAAGAGATATGCCATCGTATAACTAAAATTTTACTCAGAAAAGTTTTGTTATAATTGTTGCGACTTAAATATTCTTTATATAGATATTATAATATTTATATCTGAACAAAAAAATAATAAATCATTTCACATATTCCAGAACAGAGGAATAGAAACTCTTTTTCATAATTTCAATGTTTAAAGTGAAAAGACGAAAAATTGTTGCAAGTAAATCATTTTAAATGATAAAATGTTTTCCAGTTGAAAATTGCACTTTATCCGTTCTACAATGTGGTCCTGAGTTCATATATTTTTTTATATAAAAAATAAACGAAATATTCCTGTATAGAATGTTGTTTTTTTTCTTGCACACCAAACTGTCAACGTGATTAATTTTAGCGGCTGCAAGGGATGCATTTATACCAAGATAATATAGATACTGCACTTGCATTAAGAAGGAAATGACGTTGCATTGTCACCCAGAAACTGAGCACCACAAAACAGTTGCACCGGATGAAGTCAACCACTAATGCAACTTTGCACAGGAAACAAGTAAAATTACAAACTTCCGGCATAAACACAAGCACAAAACCCAAACAGAATAGAACATATAATGTTCGTGCGGCACACACATACACACACATACACATGCAAGCATGATGTCCTCAAACCTGCAAAAAATGTGTCCTTCCATGCTCGTATCCTCGTAGATGTGTTTGTTGGTGTCACGACATAGGTTTCTCGCATGCACTTTGTTTTGCTTGGAATATAATTTGTACCCCAAGCAAGTTGCATGTCGCCGCCGTGTGTGTATTTGTATTTGTAAATTTCAGATTGTGTAAGTGCATTCAGCTAAAGTTTTGCGTCTTCTACGTTCGCGATAGCTACACAGAAATACAGCATCCTACAGAGAAGTGCGAACAGTGAATTCTATATGGAAAATGGATACGATGGAAACTATTGGCACAATACCTGAAACGGTTTTTTCAAGGAAACGGTTTTCAAGGAAAAAAATTATTTAATTGGTGTACGTATCTTCTAAGAAAAAACTTCTCTTACAAGATATCCGATTTCTTCTCTATTTCATTTCATAACACACAAAACAAAAAATGATGTATAGAGAAAGAAAAGAGAGAAAAAAAGAGAGCTAAAGAAAAACTACACAATAGACAACACCAAAAATGTATCGAAAGCGAAATAGGTGGACAGATAGAGAAAAAATGGAGAGAAAAAGAAAAGAGAGAGAATAAAAAGAAAAAGATATAAAGAAAACATTTAAAGAGAAAGAGAGAATAGGAAAAAAAGGAGAAAGAAAAAGAAAAGGCCAAGTAGAAAAAGAAGAGAAAAAGAGATAGAGAAAGAAAGAGAGATAGAGAGAAAAAATGAGCAGGATAAGAAAAGAGGGAAACAACGGAGAAAAGAAAGAATTAATGAAGTTTAAATCAACAAGAAAAACAAATAATGAGACAAATAATAATAATAAGATAAACTAACAGGGATTAAGTAGAAGATTAAGAGAACAAGAGAGAGAAAGAGAGAAAGAAAGAATTGGGTAAAAGAATGGAAGTTTAAATATTAAGCTATTTTTAACATTCAGTGTTTAATTTTATATAAAAAAACTAAAGCTCAATTACAATGCAACCCAACAATTTTTACATATATAGTTCTTTACTTTAGGGTCCAAGTCCTATGATGTCTAAATAGAACCAGAAGACTTTTATGCGAGTATGTGTGATATATTCGTTTTCGAAGTGTCATTTTCTATTGAAGTCAATAGATAGTTTGTATTAATTATATGGAAACACCCTGTATTTGGTACTGTTTGGTTGATGTTCGGTGATGCATTTAATACTTTTGTGTTATATTCATCCGCTGCAATTTATTTTCTTGGTCGTAGGTACCAGTAAACTGGCGGCGGCATTGCAAGCTGGATTTTTCGCATTTGAAATTGCTTCAAAGGAGTATTTACTCATGTACAACGCTTTTTCATGAGTAGAGTAGTTACGGTACACATACTCGTATCATGTCAATGTATTTATGAGTAAATAAAAATGTTGCCACATTCAAAGGAACATTCATTCGTATTTGCAGTATTAACTGAACCTAATGTGCTGCTTTTGATTCCATTAAATTGTACAGGCTTAATAACAGTGGTCGAAATGATCACCTTTCCGAATTACAATTATAGTCTTAGAACCGTGCAAATAACAACATATTGTATATAGAAACAGCTTGCTTACCTAAAATTGTTACGCCAGAAGTTCACAAACCCAATGTCCCAGAATACCAACTGGGAAATTTGGAGATTATACTTCATTTATAGCTACAACTAATCGAAATGTTTACTGAACGTTGCAGAACCTGGCTTACTACTGATGCTTTTAAAATGTAGATCCAAATGTATATAAATAGCGGTATATTGTAGCCAAGGACTGTTTCGATCTTAAAATACAAGGTAATCGAAAACAAGTGCCTTTACAGAATAAACGTTGTGAAAAGATATGGATTGAGCAGGCAGTGCAAAGTAGCCTCCGATATTACTCGACATGTCTAGTAATATCTTATATAGACTTCCCATGACATCGAAAGGTTGTCCTGAAGGTTATCCTGAACCGTAGAGAAATAAGTTAGAGAGAAATAAGTGAACTGGCGCGAGATTTGTGATAGACGGAGCAGATTCGTAAAGGGTCCATAAGGCAATTCGATCCACTGTGCACTGATGGTTGGTTGGATTTTTGTTTTGTGATATATGCATGTATGTACCCGTGTTGTGATTTGTTCATACGTGTTTAAACTTGTTTTGAATATGTGAGCAAGTGAGTTTGTGGCATTTCGGTTAAAATGCTACTGTCGCTAATTTGTCAACTTAGTTCTAGAGCGAAATCGCTGCGCCCACTTCTCCTTACTGTTTCTGTTTCTGCTTCTGTTCCGCATCGTAACTGCGGATGCATTCCATTTAAACGCTTTTCGTATTTAACATTTAACTTTTGTTTTCGAAGGTCATTTACCTCATTTTTCATGTTAAAAGAACTTTGCGAAGTTGCAGTGAAAAGCAGAAATTGTGATGGTGGCAAAGATTAATGCATTTTTCCTCAGCATCCCTTAGCAAAAAGCCATAAAAAAATGCAAGGAAAATTCTCTCGTCTTATCGCAGCATTTGATTTTATGTAAGTAAAGCATATTTTGAATGAAGGAACATTTTATCCGATTTCGAATCTGTGTTGATTATGGTTTTATATTCAAACTGAAAAGAACTGAGTTCTATTGTAAGTTGATAGGATTTTTTTTTAAATTCAATAAAAACTGGGTTATTTCAAATGCCTGATTGTTGCGATATGACGGGCACTGAGTCACTTTAAGAACATTTTATAAGTTTTAAAAATGCGAAATTTTTAATTTCATATAAATAAAGCATTTAACGAACTAAATGTAGACAATTTAATTTATTTTTACTTCATAATTTAATTTTTTTACTTTCTATCGTATATATATGACAGCTACATTAAAATATAAGTGTAAAATAATATTTTTTTGGTATAATTTCAGTCCCTCGATAGCGCCTATTGTAAATCCGTTAATATTATGAACCAAATCAAGATTATACATAGTAGGATTTCAAAAAGTTACTGCTGTAATTTTTTAAACGATAATGGTTCTAGAACTTCTACACTTCATAATGTTTCGGATATTATTCATATATCATATCGTATTTAAAACCAGTACATATGAAATTAATTAAAGGATTTAAAGGAAATTAAATCAAAGGATTTGATTCTTGATTCTTCTTCTTCTTGAGTTAGTGCTATTACGCACTTTTACTCTATAATGGCTGGGGGGCTTATCTCTACCTCACACTAGGCTTTAACTAGGCTAAAAAAATCATATCATTTATTTGTCTTTTAGTTGATGACGGACCTTAAATCAGCATATCTTCCTGAGATTTGAGTTTTAATGTTAAATATGGACATTGAAAATAAACGTGAAAGTTTTTAAATCTAAAGTGAGTCCATCAATGATGAAAGTAAATATTTTCAAATATAAATAATACTTGGTTTCTGTATTTTATATTGGGGGCTTATGAGAAGAGAAATGAATATGCTATGGTTGTTGAATTCTAAAGTGAGTCCATTAATGGTTTCTGTATTTTATATTGGGGGCTTCTGAGAAGAGAAATGAATATGCTATGGTTGTTGAATTCTAAAATGAGTCCATTAATGGTTTCTGTATTTTATATTGGGGGCTTATGAGAAGAGAAATGAATATGCTATGGTAGTTGAATTCTAAAGTGAGACCGTTAATGGTTTCTGTATTTTATATTGGGGGCTTATGAGTGACTGGGCGGAAAACAGTTTTACATTTTCTAAGAGGCTGATATATATAATGATTGGGAATTATGCGAATCCATATAGAAGAGAAATGAATAGCAGATTGAATAGTGATTGAATTCTGAAACTGCAGTAGTAAAGCCGTGAAGGAAACTAATAATTTCAATTAAGATTTAACCATTCCGGGTTGTGATGCTAGGGAACATAATTTTTTAATTTAAGTTGAAAATCATTATATTAAAAATGCTTTCAGAAATTTAAAATCATAAGGCAACATAAATTCTCAAAATATTGTTGAAAACTGGCTGAGGGGCAAAAACCAGAACCACAAGTAATTCTTCAAGGTGCTATTATTAATATTACTCCGTGATAAGATGTCATTGGTAAAATTATTAATCTAAAGTTATTTAATCTAAAATATTCTAATAATTTTTTAACAATTGGCAAAGAATTTCAATCCAAAACAATTCCTTTCAAAAAGATAGATACCATCATCATACTTCGATCGTAAATAACAATTAAATTCTAACGGAATTGAAAAGTATAAAGTATAAATTTAAGGGCTTTTGTGTGGGTGAGCGTGAGTGTACGTGTGATAGTGATGAGTGTGAAAAAATCTCAATTAAAAAATTTGGCTTATATTGCATGCAAGCCCATACTTTGAAATTCCATCATTCATCACGCTCAACGTGCAATCGCTAACGTATTTGGATGCGTTCCAAAAATTCGAAATCATAAACGATGTTGAATGTTGAATGTTGAATTTTGAGGGAAACTGAACAGAGATGAATTGCCCGGAGGACACCAAAAACACCAAAAACACCAAAAACAGCATTCACAACAATTTCAATATGAAACACCATCAGTAGCAGGAGTACATCATCTGCCAGGAGCAATTGCGCTGCAATGCAAGTAGCAACACTTTCGTCAATGGCAATGCTATACCGAGTAGATACGCGCAGAGACAGAACAATAGGCATGGACACCGGCGGTGATACTGGTACTGGTACTGGTACTGGTACTGGCACTAGTGCCGGCACAATGCGCCTTTCGCAGTGCGAGCACGCGAATTCCACACGTTTTCAATTTGACGTGAGCAATTTGCAGAAATTGCTAGTGATGCGTTGCTGCCAAGTGTTGTTGCTAGCTGTTTGCTGCATGTTGCATGCTGCATGCTGCTATTTGCTAGTTGCTAGCTGCTCTTTGCTGACTGTTAATAAGTAGGTATATTGCTAACACAGGCTCCTGCTGCAATATTAGCGGAAAAGTGCTCGATGACGATTTAAAGACAAATCAAATTTTATGCGGACAACTTGTTATGTCGCTGGCATTAGGCGGCAGCAGCCGTAGCAGCAACAATTTCTCCCGTTTGCTATTGCATGCCGCTAATGACAAAGCAATTTATTGCATTTCACTGCGATCTATTTGCCTGCACGGGATTGTTCAGCTCTTCCGCGCATCCAACAAATAAATTATCCTGTCAAAAGTCAATATTTGCATTTATGTTTCTTTCGCCCTAAACGTAAACGAAACCGGATGCGATTGTGCTCTGTTTCAGTGTTGAAAACGATAAACGAAATAAAAAAAATCCGTTTGGAGGTACAAACTGACAACGGAGTTGACAAGCAACAAATCGTCATATCCCGGAAAATGTAGCGGTTTCCATTTTTGTTCTCGTTATTGTCATGCTTTTTTATTTCGTGATAATGAATTTCGTATTAAGCCCGCAATATATCAATGAATTTTTGACACTTTCGCTTCTAGGCTAACGACAGATAGGCTTCATAAATTCTGATACTGATTGCAACCATGTGCCAGTGTTGAGTGTTGTGCGTGAGATGTCGCTGTGAGTGTGAGAAGGTTAAGAGAAAAGGATATGACATATGAGGAATGGATTTATTATAATATATCTGAAGTGTTATTTCAAGGAAACGAAATTGTTTAACTTCCTAATTATAGGAATATTTGGTTTTTTATATTAAATTTAAATTGTTATTGTTTTTAAAGTGTTTCTGTAAAAAAATTACACATAAAGCAAACATTTTCTTGACAAAACATGTCTCTTCTATCCAGTTTATATCCATCAACAAGTTATAAGGCATAGATACTCACCTTTATAGCTCCAATAGCATTTTGCTTGGTTGCGAATGTAACAAAAGCACAGCCTTTACTCTGACCATTCTGGTCACGTAGTACAGTACACTCCTCAATTGCACCATGTCCAATGAACAGTTGTCTGACATCGGGCTCATTGTACTTCTTATTAAGCATACCAACGAAGAGTTTACGCTCTGCAAGAAAAAATTAAAAAATCAATAGAAAACTATAAAAACATATATTTGTAGATTTTTTAAAAATAATTAAATATTCCCATATGACAAAATATAAAACCGACATATGCAATTAGATTAAATAGGCTGGAATAATGTAAAAGTTTTCTTAGAAATCTGTTTTCAAAAAATCACAAAGTTAGGATGATTTTAAGGATGAATTTACTTGGCAGACTTCACGTAGTTATACCCCTCCTAATGAACCCCCTCCTAATTTCTACATTAAGAGAGTTTTTGTGATAAGTGTATCCCTGTTTTGGAAACAGGGATACATATCGCTTTTACCGATGAATTTGAGAAAAATAACCATTTTCGGATAGTTTCCCTTTAACCCTGAAAGGCGGTTTCACAAGAACTGTAACTGGTCATTTGCACAATCGATAAGATATTGATAGTTAATTCTCTTTCTCTTAGCATAGCCTTAAAGATAGTGATTGCTGTGGTTTCGTAATTACTATGAGTTTTTATTACTCCATTTAAAAATATGCTGTTATCTTACTGTTGTCTTAAACTAATCAAAACCTTTATGTAGTCCACAACGATTTTGTAAGAATCGTTGCGGCCATATAGTTTGGTGTGAAGAAGGTAAACTTCCCGGCAACAGTCTATTTGTCCAGTCTATATGTCTTTAAAAGTGTAAGTATATTGCAATCAGATCCAGGGATCCAATGTTTAGTGTCATATCAAGTGCAACTGCAAGAACTATTTTCATTGCTTTAGTGATATATAGTATAGCGCCGCTTATCGTCTCTAAATACGGTAGGTTAGAATGTTTTTAATGCAAACTGTAAGGCACTAGTATTTTAGATAGAAAAAAAGCTCCTTGACGGTATGAGCAGGAGAGATCATCCTATTGTAGTGTATATCAGTAGTGAATGACAGTGCTTAATGAAATGGACTACATCATTCATTTAAGTGTTATAATTATTAATATAGGTAAAAAAATTCACAATTCGCAATTATAAATGGAAACCATGTGGTTCTGTGGTCTCTGTGCATTGCTAAAATTCCAACTTGGTTATGGAAAAAGCATGTTTCTGTAACGGAGACGCTTCGCTTTTGTGGCTATTCGAATATATTCGAATTGTAGTATTTTTCTCGGGCACGACTACAGTTGAAGATTGAAATACACGACGCTTCGAATAATTCGAATAATATTTGAAATTTTAGTTAGTGTGTAAACCGTTCACGTGTGAGTACTTGTCTATAACAGATATTATACAATAATACAATAGATATAGTAAAAGTTAGGTGTTTTAATTTAAATCAAATATTGAGTACAAGTCTGCATTATTATAATACATTTAATTTTAATTTATAAAAGGGCAGAGAATGAGTTTAATGGTGTTGAATGAAATTAAATTCGGTAGAAACTATAATACTTTTACTTTTGCATTTTTGTTACGTTATATTTTGCAGGATTTAGGACTTAAAGAACAAAGTGACAACATTTCAAGTAAATTACAGAGAAAGTGCTGTAGAGCTGTAGAGCTGTAGAGAGAAATCAGTGCAAAACTACAAATGCACAGATGTGAAGTTTTGATAAATCCAATAATATGAAGTAGAAGAACTCGAGGGAAAGGAAAAGCAAATTTCAAAAGCTTTAAAAGCAAAGAAATTCACTATTAGTAAATATTTAGAGAAGTAAATTTTTGGCCACACTGTCAAAGATTAAAAGTTAAATATCAAAGATTTAAGAAAACCCATAAAAGCACACTCCACCAACATACTGGCAAGCGGCAAGCGGCAACTGTCAAGCGGTAAGCGGCGAACGGAAAACGGAAAACAATACGACAATGGGAGAGACTAGAGGACCAAATATGAAGAAAAACTTTTAACGGTTGGAGCAAAAGTTTTGCAGCAATTCAAAGTTTAATCCGCTTTCAAGCTTAAATTGTATTATCTGAAATTCCGAAAATATGTACGAAAAGATGTCTTGGAACACAAGTATTTCAACAGAATGAAAGTTTAATTTTGACAATTTCTGTTTCACTTCAACTTTTACATTTTTTATATTTCATATTAAATTTTTTCTCAATATATATTCTATTCTTTTTCTTTCAATTATTATCTGTTATTATTATTCTTTAATTACATTTTTAATTGATCCAAATATGATGTTATCTGCGACGTCCCATTCGCTTTAGTCGGTTTCTTTCTATGTGTTCCATTTTAAAATGTTCAGTTTCAGTTTATATCTCTTTTAAGTCGCGGAATTATTTTTAATTTTTATTTCCATCATTATTTGAAAAATAAGTTTCTCTTGCATGTTGCAACATCGGTTCGAGTTTTAATTGCATTTCAAACGTTTTGAAGTTTTGACAATTTTCAAAACGCGCACAAATTCACAATCACTTCATATCAAGAAAAATCACGTGAGCAAAACTTTTGCACAAAAGGTACTTAACAAGCACTTCCATTTACGTTTCACGAACAATAAGTTTTTGTCATACGTTATCTATTATATAAATATAAGTATGTCTGGGTAGGTAGTTAAGTAGGTATGTTCGTATGTACAGGTAGGTATACAAATCCTGGTACATAGATTACGCGTAATACCGCTTATACCCACACACCCACCCGTACTACAATCTCTTTGGAAGCGCATTGCACATGAGAACAGTGGCTTAGTTGAACTACTTTTCAGCGCAGCAGATGAATTTCAGAGAAAGTATATATATATATATATATATATAGCCGAAATATAGAGAAGAGCCAAAAAATCTGTACAGGAACATCCTCTCGTTGCACAAGTTTTTAACGAAGTGTTTAACTCGTAGTTGAGATTATAGCTACTCATATAGCTACTCCTACTTGCAGTTGGTATGAAATATATTCGTGTCCGTGTCCTCTAAAAACAATAAAATCAATTCTATAGAGGGGCTCTTAACAATTTCCAGTCTAAAAACTGACGCAGTCAATAATTAGTCCGTTTTTTTTTGCTTCTATTAACAAATCAACTGGTAATATATATGACAAGAATGTATACTATAAGGATTTATTCAGCAGCTAAGAAAAAGAATGGTAGATTATGTCGAAACGTTTGTTTCTTGTTCAATCAGGACTACTTTATATCATCTGAGATATTAACTTAAGAAATAAGGAAGAAGCATACAAAAGTGCATGAAAACCTTATATGAAAATAATGTACTCAATTTTCAGATTAAAGTTCGTTTCTTTATATACATATATGATATATAATTTTTTAGTGCTAAATTACAGCATTAATATGCTTTAGCACTTTTTGCTGCGCAGGAGCATTAATTTCTTTTATCAAAAAAAATTTGTATCAATGCCACCACTCCATTAAAGCCTTGTACCCTTGAGAATGAATTATAAAGAACAGTCTGCGTATCAAATCGGATAAGTAAGGTTCTAGGCATAATTTAGAAATTGTAAGAAGTAATACTGTTGAATGAAGCTATTCAAGCTATTTCGATTGCGAATTTTTATATTTTATTTAAAGGTTTTTGAATAATAATAGTGCTTTGGTGAATCAGGGCTGTCCAAACCACGGTTCATGGGTCTCACCCGCCTCGTGGCTAACCTTTGTGCGGGGTGTGACAATTTTCTAATCTATCACAATTAGGCAAATTTTTCTTTGTTATATTTTAGTCTGTTTTATTTTTCTGGCATCCCAAAGAAATGAATTAAAATGTTTTAAATAATTCATCACATCAAATTAATTTACTCAATTGACAAAGATTTTAGTATATATTTCTGGTTCAAGAAACGCGTATCCAGTGCCGTAAGTCATTACATTAAAAATAAGATATTTTTCGCATGCCAACAACATTAATAATGTTGATATTGGTAGTAAATAGTAAAAGATAAATTAATGAAGAATTAATAGAACTAAATTTAACATTATCGCCGTATTATTCTTTTTCTCCGGCATAATTATGAACGTATGTATTTATTTCTGCGACCCTCCAAACTACCTATTTAAGGATTTGAATTGGTCCGCGATTTTATCTGATCTGGATAGCCCTGGTTTAGACGATGGCTGCCTAAACCATCACATCAAATAAACTCTAAGTCTGCGGTGCAATATCCCCTCACAACAATAATAGTAATATGCGTACATTAACCGTGTTATGACCGTGTGCGAGTTCGAGTAAATTGAAGTAAAGTAAATTGAAATTTCCTTGGGATTTTTTGCACTGCACTTATGTAAATACTTATTTATTTATTGCACTTATTTATTATTTTTTAATAAAAATTGTCAAATTTATTTATTTATTTATTAAACATCTTATAAAATCTTCACAATGGTAACACCTAATACACCTAATTTTTATCTAATTCGGGTAATCCTGTTCGAAATTCTGGTAAATACCAACATTCGCTGCCATACCGACATACCTAATTTACTATTTCCCTCAATTTACCATCAATTTACTCGAACTCGCACACGGTCTATATTGTAGTAGTATTCGTAACTATTCGTAACTACATGACCCTTCTCTTAAGGAACTCCACCACTGCACTTGAGCATATCGACCGCACTTATACGATTTTATTAGAATCTCAATAGGAAAAGAAATCCACTAAAAGGATATATGCTCCGTACAATAAAATGTAACTTTTCCAATTTTTCAGCAGTTGTAGCAGTTGTATCGCACCTTAAATAACCGCAAATAAATTGTCAAGAAATAGGAAAAAATAATAATAAATTTGTTGTTTTCTTCTTTCGCTCTCAGAAAGAAAACTCAATAGAAAAGAAAATAAGAGAAAAAAAAATGAAATGAAATGAAATGAAATAAAGTAAGAAATATTATTGAAAGGAGGAAATTCGAAAAAATGGTTGTGTTGAAAAACTTTAAATTGTCGTAACACACTAACGAGTACGTTAGCTCGCAGCTTCATACTTCATACGTTCGCGCTCTAACGTAACGAGTGCAACGTAACGTAATATAACGTAACGTGTTCACACAATGGCAAAGTTGACTGCAAGGATT